GCCTATGGAGGGTTTCTCCAAAAGTTTGTCTTTGGAAAGTAGCTGTTTGGCTGGGAATGAAGTTTCTGAATGTCTATCTAATGTCTCAGAAGCAAATCTGGAATTAGATCAAGCGAAGGGAGAGGAGAACAAGGAGATTTTGGATGAGCCTAGGCAGTCTTGTGAGCTGATGGCTTTATCTAGTCAGCAGTTTGGGAAGGCAAGGAGAGTGGAAGATGAGTGTCCCTATACCTTACCTGTTTCCTGTGTGAAGAATAGTGACAGTGAAGGAAATGTGCCTGTGTCTGTCAGGGGTATTGACTTGCCTATGGAGGAAGCTACCCCAGTCTCCAAGCAGTTGTCTGTGAACAGCCCTGTGTGCTGGGACAAGGGAAATGAAATCCCATACGGTATGTCTAGTAAAGGAAAATGTGTCTCCAACTCTTTTTTGTCTGTGGAGCAGACAGAGGGTGCCTTTCAGCCTGTGATGGTTGAGAATAGTGCAGTTGTCTCAGATTTGGTTCTGGATTCAACTAAAGCCCAGGAAGGAAATGGTCCCAAGTTTGTGTCTGCTGGGGAGAATGGCACTGGAACTAGGTTGCATCCAGTTCGTGTCTTAGCAAAATCCCAGAGACCAGACAATTCTGGTGCTTGTATTTTGCCTGTTGCTCATGTGTGGTTGGAGAAGGGTGTAACAACTCTGTCTAATCAGGGTGATACCCTAGCCAGGGCACAAGGAGAGCAGAAAGGTGATTTGGTTGTGGTACCTACGGACAGTTTAACAACTTGTAGCAAAAAGGACAAAATTCCTAAGCTTGTGTGTGGCAAAGGAAAGGAGAATGCTTCTGACCTTTCATCTAGTGAGTCTATGGGTTTGCCTGAAAGGGGATTGTGTAGAAATCTGCCTGATGGGCCAAAGGTGATCCTGAATGTAAGTAAGACCCAGACAGAGTCTGTTGTTGCTCAGGAAAGTGTTCCTTTAGAGCAAGCCCTAGGTGAAGAGGGTAAGGGCAGAATTTCTGTGAGGGGTGAATTGCTGCTTAGAAAAGCTCCTGGGGAAAGAAATCCTCATGGTAATCTGTGCAAGCAGTTCACTGCAACTGAAGGGTGTGAGAGTGATTTAATCAAGGAAGTTTCAGTTCCTAACAGCCAGGAGTTGTCTGTTGTGAATGGATCCACTAACTGTCCTTTTGAAAGATCCAGTGTGGGTAGCTTTGAGAAGGTCTCAGAGAAAGTAAAAGTTGTTAAGGAATTGAGGCAGCCCTATAACCAAGTGGCTGTGTGGGGCCAACTTGTGGGGGAGACAATGGTGTTGGAACAGGAATGTCTCCATTCTAATTCTTTAAATGAGCAGTTTGTGCTTCAGGGTCTGAGGACAGATTTGGTTACTGATGTGTCGGAGCAGAGCAGTTTTATGGCTAAATGCTGGAGGATGCAGGGGAGAGCAAGCAAACTCTCACCGTCAGACTATTTAGATTTGTGTGGTATCTCTGTAAGACAGAGTCCAGCCTTGGAAATGATAGCAGTTACGAATATGAAAACTGGTGGACTGGCTCTGGTCTGGGGTAGTGCAAATTACTTGCCTGGCGGGGAGAGGAAGGACTTGCTAATAGCTGTTAGCACAGAGAGCCCACCCCATCAGCCAGTGAATTCTGTTAAGCAAGAGAAATCAGGGTTTGATCCTGCAGGACAAGGAGGAAAGAGAACTGAATTTTGCAAAGGGAAGCCACAGGTTGACCCCGAAGTGCCCAAACTCAAATGGTATTAAGCCAAAGGTGGGGCATGACGAACATGATTGTAGATGGACACTTGCAATGAACTTGTTGTTATTGCTAATGGTAAATTTTGTAATGAATGTGTTGCTATGGCCACAAACTGTAAAAATGTATAATGTGCCTAATCTTTTGGAGAATCCCTTGAACATGTTAAAAGGAATACATGAGAACACACGTTATGGTAAAAGGCCTTGTTACACTGGTGTTTCACAGTTAATGCCTGTAAACAATATTGGAACTTTTCACAAGGAAAAAGACATTCCAGCCCTAATGTGCTGCGTGAAAAGGAAGACTGAGGCACACTACCATATTGCTTTCATGGCTAAATGCCAAGATTCCTGTACTGTAAACAACCTTAATATCTACATTAACTTGATGTTAATTGGGTTCCAAATATTTGCCAGAGCTTGTATGGATAAAGTAGCTGTTTGCTTTAGCTCTTGGCAAGATCACATGAGACATTCAGGAACCATGCTGCAAGAGCAGATCCAATCCACTATTGTTCTAACTAAGTTTTACCTTGAGTTTGTAAAGAGGTTCAATCATGTTGTTAAACATGACTTTGATAAACCATTTCTGTTGTACACTGGTATGGCTTCTAACCCAATACTAGCTGTAGTGAGACAGACCCAAGGATGGGGAGCTCTTGGGATGCAGTCAGTGATGTTTGTGTCATCCCTTCCTGCATCAATTTTGCGTTGGGGGTGTGACGTTATTGACATAAACTGGAACCATATAGATCATTGTTGCAACCAAGGTCCTGTAGTGGCACCCAAATCTTGTATAAAGGGGGTCAAATGGGGTGTCTAAGACAAGGTTATGGTTTACTGGTTATGATTATGCTGTCTATATGTGTGTATCAGTTTTGTAGTTGAAGTTATGAATATTGGCTCTATACTGTCTGTATGGCAAACTTATGCTATGCTTCTGGGTGACATCCCAGACAAGCTGGGATTAGCTCTGCCTAGCCTGCTTGATGGCCCATTAAGGACCATCAGCTATACAATGGACTCATTGAGAGAAGGCCAATATGCCTTGAGACTCAGCAAAGTATGCAGGGACTGGCCCATGTGACTCCAGGCTCCATTTTGCTGTAATTTTCCAGTGAGAACAAAGAGGTGTTCTTACACCTAGAAAAGACTATATAAGGCTGATGCCTCATCTCCATCTTGTCTTCAATCCTGCTTCATACCTCTGGAGGAACTTTGCTACAAGCTGAAGCTTTGAACAAAGGACTGAGGACCCATCCCAGCGGGGGATGTATTCCAGAGACTTGATTTGAACCTGCAGTTTATTCTATCGCTGCTGCAAGCCTGAACCAAGAACTTTGCCATTACTGTATGTAATTGATTCCATTTAACCAATTCTAACTCTCATCTCTATCTTTTTCCTTTTATGAATAAACCTTTAGATTTTAGGTTCTAAAGGATTGGCAACAGCGTGATTTGTGGGTAAGATCTGATTTGTATATTGACCTGGGACTGGGGCTTGGTCCTTTGGGATCAGGAGAACCTTTTTCTTTTACTGGGGTGTTGGTTTTCATAACCATTTGTCCCCATAACGAGTGGCACTGGTGGTGATACTGGGAAACTGGAGTGTCTAAGGAGATTGCTTGTGAGACTTGCGGTTAGCCAGTGGGGTGAGACCGAAGTCCTCTTAGTCTGGCTGGTTTGGTTTGCCTAAGGGTATGTCTACACTACAGGATTAATCCGAATTTAGATAATTCGAATTTGGGAAACAGGTTGTATAAATTCGATTGTGCGCGGCCACACTAAGCACCTTAATTCGGTTTTAAACCACATTAATTCGGTGGTGTGCGGCCACACTACCCCATTAACTTAAACACAGTAATTCGGTGGTGTGCGTCCACACTAACCCTAATTCGAATTAACAAAATCGATTTAGGCTCTACTCCGTTCGTCGAGGTGGAGTACAGAAATCGATTTAAAGGGCCCTTTAATTCGAATTAACTGGCTCTGTAGTGTGGACGGGTGAAGGGTTAATTCGGATTAAGGCAGCTAAATCCGAATTAAAGTCCTAGTGTAGACCAGGCCTTAGAGGTGGAAAAACCCCTGCCTAGGGCTGTAACTGCCCTGTTTGAGCAATTTGTCCTGAGTTGGCACTCTCAGTTGGGTTCCGCCAGAACAGCATCATCACACTGGGCTGGCTCTGTTCGCCCGTGGGGGGCTGGCACCGCGCCCCGCAGCAGCCATCGCTGCTCCCAGTCCTGCGAATGGGGGTCCCGGGCCCCAAGTCCCAGCAGCTGCTGCAGCCGCGCGGCCCACTGGCACCACCCCCACCGGCTGCAGGACTGCGAAAGTGTGTGGGGCAAGCGCCCGCTAGCCCATCCCCGGCCCCACTCCTCATACCCTGCCCCCCCTGCTAGCCCAACCCCGTCCCCACTCCTCCTGCCCATCCCCCGCTAGCCCAGCCCTGGCCCCACTCCTCATACGCTGCCCCCCCCCTGCTAGCCCAAGCCCACCCCCTCTCCTGGCCTGCCCCACCCTATCCCAGCCCCACTCCTGCCCATCCCCTGCTAGCCCAACCCCGCCCCCACTCCTCCTGCCCATCCCCCACTAGCCCAATCCCTTCTGCCCTGCCCTACCCCCACCCCTCCAGCCCCGCCCCCTCTCCTGGCCTGCCCCACCCTTTCCCTGCCCTGGCCCCACTCTGGCTGATGCCTAGAGCCCTGTGGAAATGGGCACCGCGGCTTTGCAGGGCTCTCTCTCTGCCCCCCCACACCCTCAGGGCTGGCACTCTGCTGCCCGACTCAGGCCTGGCCCGCTGCTGCAAGCGAGGGCATTTCACTGCAATTCCAGGTGGGCAGAGGCCCAGGGCAGCACCCCCCATGGGGTGGCCAGGCCCAGCACCCCACATACGGGCCCCACAGCCCCAGGCAGAGTTCAGTAGAATTTAATGACTCAAGACAAACACCAACTTTATACAAAGTGAGGGGGAGCAGCGGCTGGCGGGAGGGGGCAGCGGCTCCGCCCGGGGAGAATCGGGGGAGACAGCAGCAGTCGAGGGCCAGGGGCCAGAGAACGAGATTCCAGAGAACGCGCCAATGCACCGGAGAATGGGGAGGGGGCCCACGCCCCGGGGAGGGGCTGCTGGGCCAGGGCATGTGCCCATCCAGGCTGCCCCAGCCACTGGCTCTAGCGCCCGTTCGCAGAGGCACCTGCCTTCCTCTCACCCGGTCCAGCCTGAGCTGGCAGAATGGAGCAGGGCCGGGCTGCGACCCCCCCGTGCCAGGCTCCCACTGCTGCATGGGCACCACGGGGATGCTGGCAACAGCAACACAAGGAGCGGGCAACGCCACCCTAGGCAGGCCCTGCCTGGGCCCCGGGCCGGCAGCCCAGCCCCTGGAGAGGGAGCCTGCCCTTGAGGGCAGTGCCCAGGCTGCCCCACACCCACCCTGCCAACTACCATCGCAGGGAGCTGCCAGGCCCTGGGGGGCAGGGAGGAACCCCAACCCCAGCCCCGCAAAGGAGCAGCAGGTTCTGTCCCCATTTGGGCCACAGGCTGATGGAGGGTTGGGGCCAGGTGATCCCCAGCGAGCTGCCCCAGGCCCCCACAGTCCATGCAGCTCTGGGCTCTCCTATCCCTGCCCCTGCCTGGCAGCCAATGAAACCGTTACCCAGCAGGGCAGCGTGCAGGGGCCGAGAGGAAAGTGCTTGAGAAGGGCCAGGCAGGGACCCCCAGCAAAGGGCAGGAGGGGGGAAGCCACAGAACAGGCCCTTGCACATCCACCCCGCCAGCAGCCAGCTGCGCCTCAGTCGACTTCCTCCATGTTGCTGTAGGAGGGGGCGGGGCACTCTGCAGGGCTGGCAAAGCGATCCGGGAGCCCGGCAGGGGACAACGGGGGGCCTCCTTCGGGGGCGACGCTGGAGCCGAACGACACGGGGTTCATGCCCTGCAAACAGAACAAGGAGGTCAGAGGGGGCAGCCCTCCCTTCACCCCTTCATGCCCATGGTGCAGGGCCAGGCCCAGACTAGCTCCTATCCTCCCCCCGTCCCCCCGGGCAGCAGCGTTACTGAGCAGGGTGAGGGCCCCAGCGGGGCTCAGAGCACGGCCCCAGCCCAGAGAGGTGCGTGTGTGTGTACACGTGTACAGCGGGTGTGTGTACACACACCCATGTGGACGGCAGGCCGGGGCAGCGAGCCCTGAGTGCCGACAGCAGCCGCCTCGCACAGCAGCAGGCGTCCCAAGAACATGGCAAGGAGGCAGCAGCAACGCCGAGGGCCCCAGAGCCAGCGGCACCTCCCGGCACCTTCCACTCCACCAGCTTCCTCCACTGCCTGAGCGAGCAGCAGAGGCCCCTGCACGCGGGCGGGGAGGTCGCCTTGTCTGCAGCAGGGCAGCTGTGCCCGGATGCCCAGCTGGTGCCAGGGCCAGGCCCACGCTCTCCTGCAGGCACAGACCGGGCAGCCCTGTCCAGCTTGAGCTGCAGCCACGCCTCCCTGCACCGCTCTAGGGAGCCTGAGCCGACAACGGGAGGGTTGTTCCTAGCCAGGCCATGCCAGCGCCGCGCTCCCAGGAGGGGGTGGGACCCGGGCTGAGGAGCCAGCCAGCCAGCACTGCAGCAGGAGGGTGCTCAAGGAAGAGCCCTGGGGGGGCCCCCTACAAGGAGGAGGGGCTCGGGCACACGGCCGTCATGGCAGCACGCCGCCAGCAGGGGGCGCCCTCGGAACAGCCACGCCAGCATGAGAGGGCAATTTCCTCACTCCAAGCGTTGTATCCAACCCGTGGGAATCCGACATTAGGCCGGGCCTGGCCAGAGAAAGGGGGACTGACCCCTGAGCACAGCATTCACGTTAACTGAGGGGCAAGTCCCGCTCCGGGAGACAGACACACGGTGCTTTAAAAGGACCAAGGTCACAAAGCTGCAACCACGTCTGAGCCAAGCAGCCAGGAGGAAGAAACGTGACTGATCATCGGCAATGGTTTCTCAGCACTGGCCTGGCCGCTCAAAAAGCCACACGCAAGGAAGGAGGCTGCGTTGGTTAAGACTCCAACCTCGTTCAGAGGGGAAGTGGAGGCAACTCTTTCTAGGATATAAATTTTAAAAACCTACACAACAAATGGAAGAAAGGGGCAGTTGAAGGTAATGAATATAAATCAGAAGCTCGGAACTGTGGAAACTTGGTAAGGGAAGCCAGGGGACACAAGGAGAAATCTATGGCCAGCAGAGTTAAGAACAATAAGGAGGAGTTGAAGTGTATTAGGACCAAAGGAATCCTGACAATGGTCCTGGTGCGTTACTAGAGGGACATGGTAGAATTCGCAATAAACACGCAGAAAAGGGAGAGGAGGTGTATCAATATCTCTGCTCGGTGTTTGGTGGAAAACACTGTGAACGCAGACTCCTCCTCCTCCCCCCATGCCACTCCTCTCTCCGGCTGGTTTGGTTTTAAAGGTAAAGCAGGAGAAAGGCTTAGCCACTGAATCCGCGGAAAGTACGACAGTTATTTCAGAGCATAAACCACGTCCACGGCCGTCACCGTCTTCCCTTTAGCATGGTCAGTGTAAGTGACGGCATCATGGATCACATTCCCAAGAAAACTTTCAGCACCCAGCAGGTCCCCCCCAGTCTGAACCAAGCAACCACCAGCCGGCTTGGTAATATCTTCGATATTATCGCAAAGCACCTTCTGATGGCGTTTCACACCCTGCTCTCGGAGTCCTTTACAACCTTTGCTTCGTGAAGACATGCTGCTACTGCCCACAAACTAGTATCTCTGGAGGACGTTGAACAGAAGTTACTAAGGTCAGACATTTTAAAATCAGCAGGTCCAGATAACTTGCATCCAAGTGTTTTAAAAGAGCTGGCTGACGAGCTTGCTGGACAGTTAATGCTGATTTTCTAGAAGTCCTAGAGCACTGGGGAAGTTCCAGATGACTGGAAGAAAGCTAATGGTGTAACAATTTTTAAAAAGGGTAAATGGGATGACCTGGGTAATTATAGGCCTGTCAGCCTGACATCGATCCTGGGCAAGATAACGGAGCGGCTGCTACAGGACTCGATTAATGCAGAACTAAAGGGGGATCGTGTAATTAATGCCAGTCAATATGGGTTTGTAGAAAACATCCTGTCAAACTAACTTGATTTTCTGATGAGATTCCAAGTTTGATGGATCAAGGCAATAGCGCTGATGTACAGACTTCGGTAAGGTATGTGACTTGGCCTTGCACGACATTTTCATCAACAGACTAGAATGCTATAGAGTTACCGTGGCCCACATTACATGGATTAAAAACTGGCTCACTGATAGGTCTCAACGTGGAATTGCATGTGGGGAACCATCGGTGTTTCCGGTGGGGTCCTGCAGGGAGCGGTTCTTGGCCCTTCGCTAGTTAACGTTTTTGTCAATGCCCTGGAAGAAAATGAAATCACTGGAAGTCTGCAGATGACAAACATTGGGGCAGTGGCAAATAAAGAGAGAAAGTCAGTGATACAGAGCAAACTGGGCTCAACCAGACAATATCAATTTGCCTACAGCGAAAGGTAAGTGTATCCATCTAGGAACAGCGAGGGTCGGCTGTACTCTCAGGCCGGGGGCTCTGTCCTGGGAACAGGGCCTCTGAACAGGATTTGGGGGTCCTGGTGGATAATCACGGAGCATAAGCTCCGAACAGGACGCTGTGGCCAAACGGGCGAATGTGATCCTGGGATGTATAAAGAGGGAATCTGGAGGAGGAGCAGAGACGGGATTTTGCCTCGGTATCTGGCCTGGGTGTGACCGCTGGGGAGTCCTGGGTCCAGGTCTGTGCCCACAAGGTCAGGAGGACATTGATAAATGGCAGAGGGCTCAGAGCAGAGCCAGGAGATGATGAAAGGGTTAGAAACCTGCCTTGCAGTGACAGGGGCGAGGGGCTCAGTCTGGTGAGCGCCCCCACGAGCCGGCCTGTCCCTGCCCCACGGGAACAGATCGTGGGCGATGGGCTGTTGGCTCCGGCAGAGGAAGGTCTAACACAATCCTGGGGCTGGCAGTTCAAGCTAGACAAAGTCCGACGGGAAACAAGGGAGAGGAAGTAACTGTTGGGACAGGTTCCCAGGGGTTGTTAGGGTGGATTCTCCACCCCTGGAACTTCAGCACTGAAGCCTGGACGTTTTCCTCAGGGATCTGCTCTCGGCGATCGGACGAGATGATCACAATGGTCCCTTGCGGCCTTGGACTCTGACAGATGGCTGCCCCCCGTGATCCAGAGCACCCCGCTGGGGCTGCGTCCCCTTGTGCTTCTTCAGGGCTGCCTGAGGGGCGACTCCCGGGAGGCTCACGGGATCAGAGGCAGGCGGCTCCTGCCTGCTCATGGGTTTCTCCAGCCTGCTGTGACATCCCCACAGGAGCTCGGCCAGTGCCAAGGAAAGAGCAGAGCGGGAGCCAGGATCCCATCCCCACGGCCTGCCTCGTGAGACCCCCAAGGGAGGGGCAGGCTCGGGCGTGGGGGGAAGCGGCATGCTAGGCCCTGCTGAGCTATGTGACGGGGGCTCCAGCCATCTCCGCTGCCAGGACCTCACTCCTTTGGCTAGGGCAAGAGTGCAGAGGCCCAGCGCGGGCGTCCATCTCTCTTGGCCACGCCACGGTGTGAGCACGCTCTCCAGCCCACCCCTCGGCTTGCTGGTAGCTGCCCATGGAGCCACGTGGGCAGTGCCAGCACCAATTTCCCTGCCACGGGGCCGCCCGGCACTAGCTTGCAGGGCCCTCCCTCTCTTTTCTAGCGGAGCTGGGTGGGGATCAGCCAAAGCCACAGGCCAAGAGCAAGACCCTACAGCTCCTACTGACGCAGACCTGTCGCTTCCCCCTATGGCAGGTCCTTCGAACCTGTACTGACCAGGCCCGAGACCCAGAGGGGCGGGTGCCAGGGCGGAGACTTGCCCCAGCCCTGCCTCTTCCTCCTCGTGAGGACAGAGGAACCACGGCTCAGCGCTGGGCCGGAATCCAGAAACCCTGAGAGGCCGGTGCAGCGTTCCTCGGCTGGCAGGGGTCTCCCTCACAGACTCCAGAGCCCCGTGTTCCCCACCCAGCCAGCCAAGGCCACAAGCAGCAGACACTGCCAGGCGCCCCGCGTTGTGTCTGGGCTGCCAACAGCGCAGAAGGCAAAGCCCCAGCCTGGCGAGGGAGCCACACCGCAGTGCGGAGCCAAGGCTGCGAAGCCAACCAAGCGCCAAGGGCATGGCCCGTCCCAGGCCAGATCTGCTGTGCGCTGCGCCCCCATCTTGCTCCAGATGCTCCGGAGCACGAGCCGGGGCTCGCCCACCCCCGCCAGCAGGGGCTGTGCACAGGCAGTCTGGGCGGGGGGCTCGGCCGACAGTGGGCTCTACTCTGGGGCCGCGGGGCTGCATTCGCAGGTGGGTGATGGCCAGGTCTTTGCCGTAGGGGCCGCCTCACCCTACACCAGACGACTTGCCTGGGCTGCATCGGGCGGGGGCGCAGTGCAGAAATCTGGACAGATCCATGCACCTCGAGCCACGCTGAGCGACCCGCCTCTGTCCCACAGCGCCACTCTGCACATCAAACTCCTCCCAGCTCAGCCCACAGCTCTGCAGCGTTAGCAGGGCTTCTCTGCCCCCCAGCCCAGCGCACGCAGGCTCGGAGCCCGTTCCCCACCTGCCTGGGCTGGCTCTGCCGTGCAGCTCTCAGGCTCGCTCGGAGTGGGGGAGCGTTCGGCATGAGAAGCGGGGCCAGCGGGCTCCTGGCAGAGTCGTGAGCGCAGGCTCCCCCACAGGCTGGGCAGCGGCACGGGCGTGAGGAGCAGCCCAAGGACGGCTGAGCAGAGTGCGGCACACAGTGGCGTGACTACGGAAGAGATGGGGGGATCTGGTGCCTGTTCCCTCGGCCCCTGGCGAGTCATTCCCTGGCGCAGAGAAAGGAGACGGGCACCGCATGGCTGGAACAGCCCGGTTTATTCATATGGTCCATACAGTACACAACGAGGGCCCTTTGCTGCCGTCCTGGCAGGAACTCCCTGGGCCCAGCGCCGGGCGCGCTTTCCCACGCGCCTGTCCCCAGGCAGGCGCAGGGAGACTGGCCCCCACCAGCTCGTTCTGGACTCAGCTGGACCGTGGGTCTCCCGGCCGGCACACGGGGGCGAGCGGAGGGGCGGGGCGGAGCAGGCAGACCTGCTGCACACTGGGGACTATTAGTCACGAGGCCACAGCCAGCGGGCCAATCGTCAGGGAGGCAGCCAAGTCCGGCGGGCATGAGCCCAAATGACTCTGTGTGACGGGGCCGGAGGCAGCACCACGCCAGCGTGCCAGGAGCAGAGCCCACGGCTAGCACGAGGGAGATCGCTCTGCAGTAGAGGGGACCCACGCAGGGAGGCGCTGCACCAGCCCCAGCTGCGCTCCGCTGGTCTGCCATTCCGGCTGCTTGCACCCCAGAGCACGTGCTGCCGGAGGGCTGCAGCCTGGAGAGTCCCCGCTCCCCAGGAGCCGGGCCGAGCATGCTGCAGAGCGGGATCCTGCAAGGAAGGCTGCCCGGCGAGGGCTCCATGGTCGCGAGCAGGCCTGGTCACTCCAGCACCTCCCTGGCGAGGTGTCCCAATGCCCTGGGCACAGAGCAGCCCTCACCAGGGCGGCTGGAACCGTGCAGGGCTGGGCTAGCCGCTGCCCTGCCAGCGCCTATCTCCAGCGGCTCTGGGAGACGAGGGGGTAGAAGACATTGAGGAAGAGTGCCATAATGGCGGCCATGGTGCCCAGCACAACGTAGCGGAGGCAGCCTTCGTCAGGGTGCTGCCGGGCGGCCTGGCTCGCCGTCTGGCCGCGGCGCCGGCAGGGAGTCCTGGCATGCCTCCTGCCAGCCTCGGGCTCCTCTTCGGCCTCCAGTTCCTGCCAGATCAGAGAAGCCTGCGATGTGGAAACCTGCGTCAGCACTTGGGGAGAACATACCGAGCAACCCGCCTCGCATCCCACACCAGGCGCAGCGTGGCCATGGAGCGGCCAGCCAGCCTCCCAGGCCCCCAGCACTCGCAGCCTGTGATCCGGGCAGCCAGCGGGCCCTGCGCTGGGCTCCAGCAGCAGGCAGAGACGGGCTCGGGTTGAGCCGAGGAGCCAGGCCGGCGGCCAGTTGGGGCTGGCTTTGCAGGATGGCCTCTCCCAGCACCCAGCAGTGACTGCGTAATCCTAGACCAGCGGCTCCAGGAGCGCGGGGCACAGGCGCCAGCCAATCACAGCCCAGATTTGCCAAATACAAGTGGATCAGTCAGACGACAGCCAGTCAGAGCCCAGCTTTTGAGGTGGGAACCAAGAATCAGTCAGACGGCAGCCAATCACAGGAGGATTATTCCCAGGGATGGCCAATTGCAGCCACAGGAGAGCTTGGAGCAGCCAGTCACAGTTCGGTTTCTACAGGTGGGCACCGAGTGCCCAGGATGGCGGCGGTGACCTGGGGGAGCAACCTGGCGCCTCCTGCTGCTTGCAGATGGGAATCCGAGCAGCTGCATGCTGCCCCCTGCAGGCAGCCCCAGCGGGCACCTCGCACTGCTCCCCTGCCCTGCCTCCAGCTGGCGAGAGGGTCCCTGGCCGTCGCTGATCCGCAGAGACTGGGTGAGTTCCCCTCCTTAGCTGCTGCTGCGCCCACAGATCTGGGCCTACTCAGCACAGGGCCCGCGGTGCTCCAGGACAGGAGCCACGCAGCCAGCCGGACTCCCGCCTGCAGCAGCCGCTCCAGGCCCCGACCACGGAGCCCCATGCGAGGAGCTGAGGTGAGCTAGACCCAGCTGGGCGAGGAACCAGGCAAGGAGCCAGCCGGGCGCCAAGCCAAGCGAGTATCTGGAAAGCACCCCTCCGAGACCACGCCGGGCAAGGGGGCAGCAAGAGCAGGTGGCCGGCAGCCTGGCTGAGTGGCGCCATCTCCTGGCAGGCCGGTGGGGTCACACAGGGCCGGCGGGTCTCTGAGCAGTGGTGCACAGGCCAGGAAGGGGAACCTGGAGCCATGCGAAGAGCCGCAGCACCGGCTGCCCCTCCAGGGGCGCGTAGCCCTGTCTCCCCAGCGCTGCGCTAGGCAGGCCGGCTTCTCCCCGGCTGCTTTCAGGGTTCCCTGCAGGCTCCTCCACCTCCTGCCCCGCTGCCGGGGCTGCCGGCTGAGCCCTCTCCACAGCTGGGTGCCACCTCGGCATCCCAGCTGCTCGCTCAGGGCGACCCCTCACTGGGGTCACCAGGGATTCAGGCTCCGTAACTCTCACAGGGGCCTTCTGGCTCCCTGCAGTGCAGCCCTGAGGATGGAAGGGCCCTGCTGCCCCCTCGCCTGCCCCACCCCTCGGGCTCCCCAGCTCCTCTCACGACACGGCTTCACTTGTCCCGGACCCCTTGGACCATGGTGCCTGCCCACCGGCACCCCATGCCAAGCCCCAGCCTGTGGCTGCACCCCCCATTCTCCCTCAAAGCCCGGCTTTCTTCACCACAGCCTCCCGATGGGCGAGCGGCTGCCCGGAGCCCCCAGCAGATGGGCAGGAGACCCGCACTGCTCCAGCCAGCACACAGGTACCGCAGCTCTCACCTGGCTGGCGGCCGGCTCGGCGGCGGCAGCCATGTCTGGCCGGTGCTCCGGGGGGCGCCCCTGCGGGGGTCTCTCCACGGGAGAGTTCCGCCGGCGGTAGAAGAGGACGTACGCGTATCTCGTCACCACCTGGCTCTCGTCCACGGTGGTCACCGTGCTGTCGTCGAAGAGCCGCCAGCCTGCGGGGAGAGGAGAGCGGGGTCAGCGCCCGGCCCGCACAGCCCCGGCCTGGACAGGGCGCGGCCCCAGCCCGGCTCCTCACCCACGTCGCTGCGCTGGCTGTTCTTGTCGCTGGGCAGCCGGGCGTAGGCCGTGTAGTGCCCGCCAATCATCCCGCCGTAGTGATTGATTACCGCATACAGGTCGTACATGGGCTGCTGCTGCTCCTCCTTCTGCCCAATGCAGAACTTGCTCAAGTCCAGACTCCTGGGGAGACAAGGGAACCATGAGCCGCTGCTCCTGTCCCCGGCCTGCCTGCTCCTGGCCCACCCCCAGCTCGG